AAGGACCTGAAACTTAAGTGACCGTCGCTGCAAGTTTTAAACTTCAGTGACCGTTTCGTGATTTTTAGGTAACTTCAGTGACCGTTTATGAAATTAACCCAAAAAAAAAGTAATTGAAAAAAATTACAAACATTAGAAAAATGACAGAAATTTAAAAAAAGTGACAGAATAAAAAAAAAAAAAGTGACAAAATTTTCAAAAAAATTTAAAAAGTGATAAAACACTCAAAAACGTGACAATGCCATATTAAAAAGTGACATGGTCTACCCACTTGAAAAAATGGTAAAGTTAAATATTAACCAAACAAAAATAACTTCAATTGAAGACAGTGTACCCACTAAATACTAAACTTGAGTGACTTTTTTTAATTAAAAAGAGACAAAAAGTGATGTTTGTACACTTAAAAAGTGATAGAATTTTTTTTAAAAAAATAAAAAACAATAAAAAAAGTGTCAAACACTCAAAAAAGTGAAAGAAATTCAAAAAGGTGACACACACTTAAATAAATGACTGAAACTCAAAAAAAGTGGCAACCACTAAAAATTTGACGAAACCCAAAACAGTGACAACACATACAAAACATTTAAAAAGTAACAAAATAACAAAACAGTCACTTTTTTATTAAAAAGTGACGCACAGTCTACCTAGTTGATAAAATGATCAAAGTTAAACTAGACCAAAATAACTCTAATTGAACATGTTTTTACAAGAATAAACAAAAAAAATCAGCAAATTAATGAATTGTTGTTAATTGTTGACAATTTTGTGGATCATTTTTGGATTGTTGTTGGTTTAATAAATTTCAACCCTACATCTGAAATTCATGGAATCTGTCTCTTTGATCAGCTACGATTATAATAATTTTTTTTCGAAATTATTGTATTGCAGGCAAGAAACCGACCATTTTTGAAGTAAAACAAAAAACTAACTTTTTAACCCCGCATCTTCTTTTTCATGCCAATATTATGATTTATATTTAATTAAGATGAAAATAAAGATGTCGAACATGATACCTAAACAGAAATAAAATTCAGTAAAAGGGACGGAAAAAATTCAAGAACTAAACTCAAAGGAATAATGTCTTGATGCCACTGCAAACTTTCTATTTTCTCTTCCGTGAGCAACGTTCAATCACAAGAGCACAAGAAAACAGAAACTATAGTACCTTAATCTGGCAGAATGAATATAATTCACACAATTTTCTTCTTAGATCATTCAATAAATTTTACCCAAAATAACAAAATCCCTTTTATTGTATATGCAACCAACAAACACAGAGATTTGCACACATAAATTGATGATAGTTTGAATACAGATTTCTTTAGGAGTGGCGTGTGTTGATATTATTAACAATAACAGTCTTATAGCAAAAATGTAAGGGCATGTTTGATAGCACCCAATTTTCTAGGGAATCGTTTTCTATTTTCCACCTTTTAGGTTATTTGGTAAGTTAAATTTTCCATTTAACTCATTTTCCACCCAATTCTTGGTTTTCAAGGAAAACCAATTCCCACCACATTGGTGAGAATAGGTTTTCCAGGCCTTTTTTTTTTTTGCAATGAAAACAAATTTTATGGACAATTATAAAATATATATATATATATATATATTCTCTTTAATGGACAATTTTTATGAAAACAAAGTCAAACGAATAATAAAAGATCCAAAATTTCAACAGTTTTCAAATGAAAAATTATACTAATCAAACATAATTAATTACAATTGTCAATAAAACAAATTATATGCAATTCAATTCCCTGTAATTCATTTTCTTTCCACCAAAATTCCACATTTGCAATCAAATGGACCCTAAGAGTCCAATATCAAGAGAAACAAATTGAGCTACGAGATTTTTTCGATATTGGAAACAAAGTTTCTCTTGGGTTTCGAAAATCAGAAACTCTAAATTCCAAAACAAATCTCTTTGATTATTGAACAGCCAACACCATTGTGAACGACGATGACGATGTTCAGGCTTTAAAATACCAGAAAGGTAAAATCTGAATTCCCAACATGGACGGCGGTGGAATGCGCAACATAACATAGGGTAAAGTGCTTTCGTATCTGGAAATGGCATTGAAGAATAAGTCGGGGAATCCGACAGCCAGAATAGCGTCAGAGGAATTTTCACGACGATGCAATTCGCTGCTAAAGGTCGGAATTGGGTTGCTAAAATTTTGATGCCATTCAACTGGGATATAATAAACCCTAGCTCTAAATTCATTCTTGAAATCTTTATTAAAAATTGGGATTTTACCGACATTAGCCCTGTTGTAGNTGCGACGCTACCGTTCACAGCATCGTGACCTTGCTGTGAACGGCAGCGTCACGACACTGTCGTAAATCGTTGTGAACATGACAGCATTACGACATTGTCGTTCACAGCGCCGCGCCACGCCGCGACGCTACTGTGAATGGCAGCATGCGAGGTTGTCGTTCACAGCAGCGTCGCGACGAGTGGTGTGTGTGTGCTGTAGGTGTGTGTACAGCGGCGAAGTGGTGTTCTGGTGATGGTGTTGCGTCGGAGTGTGGTGGTAGTGTTGATGCTGGTTGTAGTGGATTCAGATCTAGTTTGTGGTGGTGGTAATAGTATGTGGTTGGATGCGATGGTGGTGGTGGTGGGTGTGTGTGCTGTGGGCGCGGTGGTATTGGAGACGTGGTGGCGGCACTGCCGGTGTGTGGTGGTTGACCAGGTGTGGAGCAGATGTGGTGTGTGATGGGTTTGTAGGTTCAGATCGATTTGATGGTAGCGGTGGTGATAGTGGTGATGTTGTGGTCGTAGTGTTGTTATTGTTGGTGGTGGTGGTTGTAGCAGAGGCGACGAGATGAAGAGTGTTTGTGACAACTATTTTGTTGATTTGTGACCAAGTATTGGTGGTGGATCGAGATCGGGGGTTGGTTTTTTGGTATATGTGACCGACTATTTGATTATCTGTGACTAACCGTTAAATCGTGACCTTAAATTTTGATAATTTGTGACCAAAAATTTGAAAATATGTGACCGATAAATAAACTGTGACCTATAAATTTTTTAATTTGTAACCAACGAAATAAATTGTGACCTACAAAATTTTTGATTTATGATATCGAAATAATCTGTGACCAATAAAAGTTGTGAGCTATAATTACGTATATGTGACTATTAATTATATATTATTATATTTAATTAATAAAAATATTTTAATTTATAAATAAATACCTAATTTTTTCATTTTTAAACTTAAAACTTGATTTTTGCATTCGTGAAACTTAAAGCCTGGATGGGCTTGGGCCAGAATTCCTTATTACTTGTAAATGAAATTACTCCAGTTCCTTAACTAGTTTTCTTGCAAATATACAACTTTATTATTTGAAAGATGATAATTTTTTACGAGACACCTCAATATAACAATTGTGAATATAAACAACGGTACACTAATGGAGACGTACTTAAATAGACGTATACAAAACTAAATAAAAATATATCATTCTAAATTCATCCACTAATATTTATTTTCTCCTTATTTTGTAAATTATTTGTATAATATTTTACATTGTGGAATTAAATTGTATAATTTGTTAATATTTATATATGCCAGCGGCTTTTTGAAATGGATAATTAAGGAATTTCTCTTGTTCATAGATATTGAATCAGATCAATAATATTCGTTTCTTAATAGATTTATCTATTTATTGATGAAACATAACTCTGTGATGATCTATAGCGATATGTAATTATGGCTCTCCCACTCGTAATTGCTCTTGCTGTATGTGACTTTGTGTGGTATGCTTTGGTGATTATGATTCCAACAAGACTTTGATGTCACAAATTTATTTCTTGAATTATCTATATTCTCAATTTCCATTTATAAAAAAGAAAATCTAATATTGTAATACTTCATTTTCCCCTTATTTTGTAAATTATCTATTCGCAGAGATACTTTGTTGTAACAAGATCTCCTGTCTCGGGAGAGTTGGAGGTCATGAGGGGATAATGTTATATGTAACAGGGATGAATATAATTTAATTTTTTTTAAATTTTGAAATTGTAATAGGGATATATTTAGAGTAAGATAGATACATCAAAGTGGTGTAGATGGATAGTGTTTAAATGAATAAATTTGATAAGTACAAAATTGGAATGTGATTTGGAAGAAAATAATTTTTTTAAAATAAATTTTAACAGGGATAGATATAGAGTATGATAAATATGTAAAAATGATTGTTGTAAATAATAGTACCCCTCAATTATCATCTATCAAAACTTGTTCATTTAGCCCCTGTTTGGTGCACATTTTGGGGCCAAGAATGTATTTTTTTTATTGATGTGATGGGAAATATGATGTTGAAAAAGAAAAACAAATTATTAATATGATGAAGAATATTATTTTATTGAAAAATGTGTGGTAGAAAATGAAAATGAAAAAAATAATGTGATTCAGACAGGGGCTTAGTCTCAGTTTTACAATCATGAAAATGATTCTAATTCCCTGTTTGGTCTCTATTTTTAAAACTCATTTTCAATCACACAATATTCTTAAAAAATAAAAAAATTGCACGTGAGACATAACTTTTTTTCTTTTTTTTTTAACTACATATTCTACAAAAAACCGTTTTTCACAAAATTTATTCTCAAAATCTCTACCAAATAGGGCTAGTAAAACGAGTTGGACACTGCAAGCACTTTATTTCCAAATTTTTTTATATGTAAAATCCCTCTCAACTTACAAAAAAAATGAAAGGAAGTAACATTTGATTAGAACATAGAGAAGGGAAAAAACTTGAAAGCTATGAATATTTGTTTTTATTCTTTTGCTTGTCAATATGATTAAATATTCATGGAAGATGAAACTCTGAGAAACATCTGGGATCAAGACCACTGCAAAACACCTTTGCATGTGCAAAAAAAAAAAAAATTCTCTCTCACGCGAAAAATAAATAATTTACTTAATTAAACTCATTCCTTTAGCCTATGCATGTACAAAAAATATGGTGTGATTTAATTATCATAACAATGGTGCACTAGGATTGAAGAAAGGTTTAAAAATGCGTTGGCCAGTGGCTAAAATATGCTTGGGGTCGAATTCCAATTTTCTTTTGGAAAAAACGGTCCATTTATCCCCAAAATGGTCCATCCATTGTTGCTGTGTCGTGTAATGAGGTAGGTATTGTTTTGCTTTGATCCCAGCATCGCTGCAGAATTTTAGGATTCGATTATTTTGATTCGTCAAATAATTGAGTGTCTGTGTCTCGTCCCCGTTGTCCAGTGCAGATCTTAGAAATGCTACCAAGTAAAATATATCTTCATCTGGTGTCACTACTGAATTCTTCACACCCCACCTAACGAAACAAATGCACATTTGATTGCATTAGAAAATATACCGCATTAGATAGAACTATGCAGGCAGAAAATTAACGACATAAGAAAAGTATAGAAGTTTTTTTTTTTTCGATTATATCTTATTGTTCCAGTTCCCAAATTGGTTATCAACCTTTAAAAATGAACAAATTGGTCACCCAATCTTTCGTTAGAGTTAAATATATGTGTTAATTCATCACGTGAAGCTCACATGTCCAGCTGTATCATGAAATGAGAATTTTCTTCTGTGAACTAGTGTCTAGAAATTTGAAGTGAGACATGTTTAACGATAATCTAGACAATTTGGTTCTTGAGGTTAATAATGCAACTATAATGAAAACATGAGAATTAATTTGCTCATTTTTATAGATTGAGGACCAATTTACCAAATTAGTATAGTTGGTACTTCATGCATGCAGTGTGAGTGCTACGTGAACACACAAAACACACACTAATTATTGACACCTTTTATAAATATAAAATTTCTTACTTGTTTTTATTCATAGGGTAGATTAGAATTGGACCGCTGGTCTTATCCCCCAAAATGCCCTTGAACACTCCTTTATCGAAGTCAGCAATTCTTGATTTAGGTACAAACAGGTTCAACCATGGGTGAGGCACATCCCACAAATTCTTGGCCCGCAGCTTCAACTCGGCCTTGTGAACCCGGTCCAAGAAATCCACATAAGGAAGATCAGTCGTAAACTCCGAAGCCGGTATAAAATTCAATTTCTTCAATAATACCCCTACTTCCTGCAAAAATAAGTCAAAGTCTCGTCTAATATAGTATTTTACATCACGACAAATGCTCGAACATTTTCTTCGCATGGAAGTCTAGATTAAATAAGTAAATTATTAGGGTTATAATTAAATTAGTTGGTGGGCGGCTTAAATTAGAGTATTAAAATAACTAAAGCACATTAAAGCATACATTTGCACCAAGAACCAGACTCTTGAAGATAGATTACATAAGATCTTGTATGTTTTATAGTGCATGTTCATTTTCTGTCTTTTAATACCTTTTGCTTTCAGAAAAAAAGACTATTCATATTAAAAGAACAAAAGCGATTTCACAAACATGGCCACACTAATACTAAATTAACAAATCGACAGCCGTTACAATAGAATCTTCTGATTTTTTTATTTTTTTTTATGTAAGAAGAAAAGGTTAGTTTGCAAAGGATGTTTTATTGGAATGATGCCACCTTTTGCTGTCAAAATGAATCAGATATTAATTATTTTTATCATATTTTGCTGTCTTTAGCCATTTAATTAGATTTTCTGCTTTTCTTCCCAAGAAAAGAGACTTGACATGCTGCACAATTAACTTGAATAGATAAATATTGTTAAGGGCTCCATAGCTAAAACCTTGCACCTCCTTAACATATACGTTTACCCTGGTTCGATTTGGATAAAAATCATATCTTTAGTATCTTTCAATAAAAATTGATCGAATTTGTAGTTAATTGTAGACTTTGAATTACATTTTAATCAACTTTTGTAGATGAACCAAACAGGGGCTTAAATTAATTAATGGTGTCACACGGTTCATAGGTTAGGCTAAGAGCAACTTGATATGACATGCTTAGACCTGCCCGAGTATAGGGCGGGCCGCCTATAGCTATCTTTTATTTAATTTTTCTTGTTCGTACACACATGATATATATGAAATAAAGGACTCGGCCTAATTTGATAAATTAAGATGACCATATATATTACCTGATCTATGGTATTGGCATTGGATTCTTGATAATTCTTGGTAATTTCCAAGCAATACAAGACACCTCCATCAGCATTAAGAGAAGAAATCTTGACTGGGTTGCGTGGGGAGAAAAAAGAGGACCTCCAATTATTGATAAGGCCTTCATCAACAATAACAAAACCTTCGACATAGTCAAACTTTTGCGTGGCTGCTTGTCCGTGCAAAGATATTAGATACTCTTGGTCCTGCGTGAAGACCGAAAAATTGGAGTACAACACTCGAATCCATCTCACCTGAATCAAACAATATAATTCAATGAATTTAAAATTATGAAAGTGAAAGTCAGAAAAACCCAGCAAAATTAACACACCCTTGTCGGGTTATTAGGTACCTAGGTTCAGTCTGCATCTAGGTGTCATCTAAGTGATTGAACCCTGATATCTAAAGAGATTTAATTAATTAATGTCATTTAATTAAGACCCACTTGACATAGCTTTTAAAAAGTTGAAAAAGTTATGAAACTATGAATATGTTTTTAACTTGTTTGAATCATTTTTGAAAGTATTTTATCTTATCACAAAAACTTTTAGATGAATCTTACATAAGATAACTTCTTCGAAAAAATCTTCTACAAGAAGTAGAAGTCATGTGAAATGAGTCCTAACATCTAGAGTTTCGATTATCAGCAATCTAAATAAATAACATTATTCTAGAAACTAATGTCTTTGCTTGACCTTTTGCGATTTGAGGGTGGAAAAAGGGGATAAGTCAACAACATTGCCAGCTTTAGGACAGCCGTTTGAATGGTGCTAAAAAGCTAGCTCGTATGGACCCATTAATTGTTCACTATCGAGTCATGAGATATGTTGGCTTGCTTTTAATGTATTGTCCCCAGCTTTAGTACTAGGAAAAGTCGTGCAAGGATACGAGTCCCACACACCATAAGGAAAAAAAGCTTAAGAAAACGACAGCATCGGTTGAGAATAAAGGTAGAAATTACCCTGTGGGGGGCATTTTCAAGTGCAATTCTTGCTCTTGTGATGATGCCAAATTGCCCTAGACCACCAAGAACACCATGGTACAGGTCTGAATTTTTTTTCTCTGTACACGTCAATAGCTCACCCTTCCCTGTTTGTCAATCCAAGAAGATTTTGCAATCATGGAAATTATACCAAATGAAAATTTAAATAAAAAATTTGAAACGAAAGAGAGATCTTGCTCAATTACACCAATCCCGTGAAATTCATTTTTACTTGTACTTTAATATACTTAATGAAAATCAAACATTATCTAGACAAGGAAAAGCTTATTGAAAAGGATTTAACAGACGAAATTATTTTAAAAGACGATGTTACAACTACTTAACTTTTTAACAATATCTAAAGGAACTAAAAATTATTCAAAAACATCTTCTAGTTTTTTTCGCAGACTTCAAGAAAGAAAATTTAGTACTTTGGAACACATGCAGACCAAAAGACAAGATTCGAAATCTTCTACGATTAGAGAGAAGATTAGGGTTTATAATATCGCGATTATTCAACTTCTTTTTCTTCGTTAATATTGTCTATTTGTGCAGTGTCCAATCTACGAAACAAGCTATGTACGTTCAAAAGAATGCTCGTGTAAAGAGAATAATAGTAAATGCAAGAACCTGTAACAACGTCGAGTTCATATATATTGCTGATTTGAGGGCCATGATTAAAAGCTTGGCCACTAATTCCTGCATTGGAGAGAGTACCTCCCACGGAAAGGTACAAGTAATCTGTCCAAGATTTTGGTGCAAGTCCATACTTTAAGGTGGAACTCAATACATCTATCCATAACTCCCCACCCCACACATCCACGTACATGAATTTCTCAGAAACTCTCGGTGGAGCCACCTTCTTGGAGCCACTCATTTGAACCACAACCCCGTGTGTGATCATGGCCTGCCCTTTTATTGAATGTCCATGTCCCCTGGCCGAGACTGTGAACCCCTGACCGGATTCATAAGCAGCTTTTACTAGCCGGGCAACGTCCTCAGCCGAAGCCGGATGCAGAACAGCTAAAGGCTCTGCGTTTTTCATGCCACCAAAGTCCCGGGAAGCCGCCCCCAGGTCGGCTGGCTCTACGCTCAGAAAACCCTCGACTTCAAGGCGTAGAAGCTCCGTCGGATCCAAGGTTAATCCAACAGTCACGATTAATCGACAGATTGCGAATGCTAATAAAAACCTGGTAGCCATGCTACGTGGTTTTCTTATTATGTGTATGTAAATATATAGAGACAGAGCAAGAGAATGAAGGGTAAAGGTGAAGGATAAGGGATATGCGCAAACAGGCGGAGGAGAAAGGAATAAAGGATTGTAGTTATGGGAAAGGGGAGGAAATCTTGTGGGCTAACGTAGGCTGGATTTCACTTTAAAGATTATGCACACAACATGAACAGATTCGTTAGCTCTCTGCTTTTTACTTGTTCTGATCGCGTTATGGGACACATCCGTGTGACAGTGTGACAGTTTTTGTGATTTTATTTATCTGTCAAATGCCTTTTGCAAATTGATTCATTGGAACAGGGAGGAAGATGGGGTGGGTGGAGGAGGGAGGGGTGTGTCGAGGATATTAGTTACAGGTCGTGTATTTATAGGACAAGGAGTTGGACATTCACGTGCGATAGTTGCAAGAGAATGGAGACGCGTGTGAAGGGGGTTGGGGGCCACAGAAGAGAGTCAGCGAAGGGGGGCCACAGAGGGATAGGGGAGATCTGTGTGGGGACGCCAGCATGGGAAAGTTCACGCGGGCGCAGACACAGGATGACGACACAAGAGGGGAAGAAGACTTTTCCATGCATATGCAAAATACAAACCCAATATAGATTCTCTTCCTCTTCTATTTTATGATTATGTGATTTGAAATCTCAATTTGTGTTCTTGTTTTGAATTCTCATTTTGAGTTCATCTATTCGAGAAGGTGGGTGGGAATTAGAAGCTTAAATTATTATTTAAAAGGAAAAATAAAGTTGTTGACCCTAACCATATATTTCATATGAGTTATAATTTTTTAACCACACATTTCAACAATTTTTTATTAAAATCTACTTAAAATCATATTTTTGTCTACTACACCAAACACAGACTATATGAAGAACATGTTGATCTTAATTAAATTTTTAAAATGAGCAAATTAAGCTGTTGTTTGAGCTCCATTACTTGGAGAAAAAATTTGGAATAGTGTTTTTTGGAAAATACGTAGTTAAAAAGTAAGGAAGATTTTTGAGTTTACATATAATATTATTTTATTAAGAGAATGTCTGTTTGATAAGAATAGAGAGAAAAATGAACTAAAATTTAATGAGACCAAACATGGGCTAAATCTTTTTATATTATTATTATAGTTGCAGAATCAGCCTATGATGATATTAGATAAATCTTCTTCAAAATGTCGAATGAGCCTCATAGATCTTAGAAGTTTGATTTTAACTTGGGATGGCAACTAGAAATGAGGTGGATCATATTCCAAGAATATCACTTGTAACGGCCTGGGCTTGTGTCTGGCCATTCTCTTATCTGTCCGCTTTAGAAGAGCCTAAATTCATCTTACTGTTCACTAATTTCTATCGAGTTCTTAGGATTCGAACCTATGACATTTCCCTTAAAAAAGACTTAAATTGAATTCTGATACCAATTGAGTAAGCCTTTAAGTCCCGAATTTTATATTCTTAAATTGGTTGATATCGAGTTCAAAAGAAGGTTTTTTGTGCCCAATTGATGAAAAGTGTGAATATGAGTTTGTCACGTCACGACGACTCACCACCCCAGCAGAGCAAAGCCAACTAAGAACAATCCCCCATTGCACATAAACCATTTCCAATTGATAGTGGCCGAGCTATTAATCACGCTCTGACCCAACAATCATGTTTCATCCACCAGACTTGATTTCCCGTCTCCTTATAAATCGAGGATACAGATATATATCAAGATTTAACTTAAATCTCTTTTAAATGAAAGGTCATATGTTCGAATGTTGGGAATGCAATAGAAAGTCATGAAAGGTAAGATGAATTTAGACTATCCTAAATTGGACAGTACATAAGAGAACGGCCGTGCACGAGGCTCGGGCCATTACATCATTTAAAGTTTTAACAGAAGTTTGGATGGTTTCTATCGTTGAGAAATGAGTATAAAAATTAAGAAGTCAAAAATTAATATCTAGCTCAAGTGGTAAGAGCAAAGTCTTATCAGGAAAATGACCTGGGTTAGAGCCTCCTTTTGAGAGAGGGTTGATCCCCTTAAACAAAAAATGAAAAAGAAAGAAAAAAGTTAAAAATCAACTTCTCTTGTGACTTGAAAGAAATGTATCTCAATAGTCAATATAGGAATGTAATAACAATTTATTTTCACTAAAAAAAGTTAGGAACAAGAAGATTTTATTAGAAATAGTGACAAATTTTTCTAGGATCCAAAAGAAATAAATGGAAAAACAAAGTTTGTGAAGAAATATGACCCAGCCTAATTGTGGTCACAATAGGACTACATGGCGGAGGGACACTAGTAATTTAAGTACATTGTAAAATCGGGTAATTATGTCCACAAAATAGTTTTTGTTTGCCGCATCACATTTTTCTTGCAATGAAGATCCTTAATCTTTGCTTATTACATGAAGTTTCGATAGATTGGCCGCTGATTCATTAGAAATTTCATCATTATTGACAGATTGTTGAAAAAATGAGAATTTATGTGGACTCCAGAGGCAGAAAAAAGTTTCAACTTTATCAAGGAAAGTATATCCACCACACTGGTCCATGCATCAAATTTTTAGAAAATCTTTTAAATTGATTGTACTGCATCTTATGTGAGGATTGGAGGAGTACTCAACCAAGAAGGACATCTAATTGCCTTCTATAGTTAAAAGCTAAGTAAGAGAATGAAGAAATATTTTGCTTATGGTGTAGAGCTCTATGTCATTGTTCAAGCTCTTCGTCATTGGCGGCCATTGTTAAGTTGTAGAGCCTAATTTTTGCCACTGTGTAGAGCCAGTATGTGGATCGACCTTTGCGATGAGAGCATCGTGGGAGTTGGACCCTTCTAGAGGTGTGCAAGGCGAAGCTTTCAAACCAAAATCTCACTTAGGATAATATAAGAATTTATGTCCTTATAGATTTTAGATTTCTCCTAATTTATTTTATATATAGATAACCTAGAATTTTGTATTACCATCATAAAAGGAGAGAAATATGTTAGAGAAGATATGTTGCACGATTTTCTCTTGTAAAATTCTTTTCATCATACTGAACTATTACAACGGTGAAAGATGACATAATCTCACATCGGAAGCGAACCTTTAAATCTTGAATGTTCTTGAATATCTATTTTTCTTTGTACAAATTGATTATTTTCAATGAAATAGAATTATGATTTCTAATTTTGTCATATTTCATTAACAGAGAGTTCGTCCTTAATCCCAATCATGAATATATCAAGCATATTATCTCTCGAGCAAACTTGAATAGAAGGCATACTGGGTGGGTTTCATCCCTACAAGAATACACTTTTATGTTGAAGCATAAGAGGGGAAGGCTAAACACAAAGTGATTGATATACTTAGTATGATAGTTTCTTTATTGAATACCATGACTGTTCAGTCGGAAGGTTTTGATGCCACTGGAGAAATGTATGTCCAAAGAGTTTGAATTCAAAGAAGTATAAGATAATGCTTATCCAATTTTAAGGAAGTTGAGTCCCGCAATAACTTATCTGTCATATTATGATAAGACTTTACCACCGGAGCTCCATTTTTATCCAAACACATCAATGGTATAATATCAATCAAGTTGCAACTCCTAAGCATGGTGGGATTCTTAGGATTTGAGTAACTCAATCCTACCAGGAGTGTGTTACCTACCTCCATAAATACAGCTACCCAATCATTATTCAGATATGCTTTTACATACAATTTCAGCATATATCCCTTTGCATAATCTCTCTCTAACTTAAGTATGGGGATGATGAGGACATACATCAACGTTTTTGTTTCAAGTACTAGAAGATTCAATTCGTACTCATTCTCAGTCCTCAAGCTCGAAAAATCAATATGTACAATTTTTGGTAGCATCATGGCATCGTCTATGGGAAGCACTACCAAAAGCCATGGTTAAAAATTCCAGGACAACTTTCAGCAACCTCATCCGCTCCTGACCAGCTCTCCACTAAAAATCCTCTGGTACAATGGGAGGAATCATCGGGACAATCAATGTCCCCACCAACGGTTGTTGCTCCTGGGCATTTGAGGAGATCTGCCAACAAGTTACTACGCTAACTCAGTTGCTAAATCAAAAACATCGACATATAGCGTTGGTACCACAATGTAGTTTTATGGCAGGCTCGAGCTCAGGCTCCACGTCCCATTTCTGGAAACGGTGATGCCGAAACCTCGGGCATACCTCACATGACCTTGAGCTTGAGATCATATGGACTCAGTTGAACTTGTTAGGATCATTCAGGACGAGATTGCGGCCGGTATGGTTCGAAATATAAAGGGGCCAATAGGTTTCAACCCTAACACGCCATTCATTCCAGAGATCTTATCGTATTCCCTCCCGGACAGATTCAAGTATCCCCATATAAAAGAATACGATGGAACTACATAGTCGATCAACCATCTCAATGTATACTCTTATGTCATAAATTTGCAAATGGCACCAAATCCGGTGATGTGCAAGGCTTTCTCCCGAACTGACTAATAATGCCAGTGATTGGTTATCTACCCTAGAGCCCAATTCTATTGCATCATTCTCAAATTTAGCAGACAAGTTCTCTGTCTTCTTTACAAGTAGCAAACGCATCAGGAAAATTGTCGATTCCTTCATACATCTTCGTCAATAATCGAATGAATCTATGCATAATTTCATGACAAGGTACAATAAAGAAAGACTTCAGATACTCGACCTACATATCACAGCAGCAATTTCTGCCCTCACATATACCATAAGATGTGAGGTGTTCAAAATGTCTTTATAAAAAACCCCACCTAAGTCAGTAATCGAGATCCTAACTCGAGCAGAAAAATATATTAATATGGAGGAAATATTGAATTCGAGGAAAACTCCTCATCCGACCTCGAAAAAGCCCGAACATAAGAGACAGCATGATCCTAACCTTTGACTAGAAATTCCTAGAAATAAGCAGAGACGGGAGACATCTCCGACGTCATTCACCCGACTGATTACTTCTAGATCCAACATTCTGAT